TATGCGAAAGCGTTCCCGTAGCCCTGACAAAAGGTGATGAGATGTAAACAGTGGGGTTTTAGCCGGTAGGAGTCCGGCATAACCTGTCTGACGCCTACACGACAGACGGGTATCCATGAGGATTTCCCCACGTAAAAAAAAAAAAGGTTAGGTTAGGTTAGGTTAAGTTAGGTTAGGTTAGGTTAGGTTAGGTTAGGTTAAGTTAGGTTAGGTTAGGTTAGGTTAGGTTAGGTTAGGTTTTTTTTTTTTTTTTTTTTTTTTTTTTAATACTATTTTACTACTGCTATTCTGCAGTACCTTTCTTTCTGTTAAAGATAATCCTTTTTTACTGTTATCAATGTTTTTTTTTTTTTGAAATATATTATATATATACTTAAATAGTTCCGTTCCGTTTACACATTGTTTCAATATACTATTACATGTTCTTTTTACAGTTATCATAATATCATCTTCTGTAATTAATCTAATTTTATAACAATTCTGAATATAGTTCTATGTATAGGTATACTGTTTCAGACTTTATAATGTTATTACTTTGTATCTTTTAATTTGTCTCTTATAAATAATTCCTAATTTTACAATAATATCACCTTAAATAAATAATGTACTTTTGTTTTGGGCCTAATTTTAATAATATTCTTAATTCTTAACATGAGGCTTTGTTTAAACTAACTTGCAATTATTTTTAAGCATAGTGTTCCGGTTATAATGGTTATTGCTTTGTTACTTTGTACAGTTTATCTACACTTATTTATCCTATTTAATAACAATTGTTAAGATAATCTGTTTTAGCTTACTTTTAAACATTCTACTACTTGCAAGTTATTATTAGCCTAACGTTATCAAAATGTATGCTTATATCATATTATTATTAGTTCATTATTATTACTTTAGTTAAATTCACACTCATAACGGTTTTATTGTAGGGACTATACAGAGACATAAATTTATTCTACTATAGTGCTCCCATTCTCTTTGTTAATAACCTTAAGTATTGAGAGAGCAAAGTGTATGAAGTGAGATCTGCAATCGATGTCCGTCATAATAGTACTTAAGTTCTTACATACTATATTCACTCCCATATTGCATTCACACTCATACCGTTGTTTTCCAAATCGCGGACATTCTGTAATTAAATGTTCTATGGTTTGTTCTGTACTATCATCGCATGTGCAATATGGGGATGGCAAAATCTTAAATCTAAAAAGATAAGCTTTATTACCACCGTGACCGGTAAACAATTGAGTTACAATATTAGTTATTTTTATACTTTTTAAAATCCTATAAGCAGTTATAACATTTGGGAAGAAAGTTCTTATGGTTCCACTGGTTGCTGCTTCTTCATATTTGATTTGCCATCTTAGCAGAGTGTTGCTCCTGGTGAGGTGCTTGGCGTAAGACAATGGGAATAAGTCATAAATTGCCCTCTGTTTTTTGCTAGTAGCGGCATATTTAGCCAGCTCATCTGCTCTCTCATTACCTACTAAGCCACAATGAGCTTTTATCCAGTATATCTGGACTTTTCCCTCTTTATTTTCGATAGTATTGAGCTTCGATGAAATTTCAGCTGCAATAGGATTAAGTGACGTAGGATTACAAAGAGTTATTACTGCTGATCTAGAGTCACTAAGGATGTTGGCTTTAAGGTTTTTCTTTTCTAACATATATGTAACTGCCTTCAAAATTGCAATTAGCTCGGCTTGGTATACGCTGCAGTAGCTTTCGAGCCTACAGGTGATGGTTTTGGTTTCCGTTCCATTTTTCCATACTGAAAGTATCTGAGTCTGAGTCTATTTTACTGCCGTCTGTATAAAGCTTTGGCCAGTCATTGTCAATTTGATCGATGTCTTCTTGGCAGGTTATTAGCTTGTACTCCCTCTTGGTTCTTAGTGAGGGGTGTGGTAAGTGGAAAGGACTGATTCTCATTTCCAATTGTCTCCCAGGGAGTGACTCAATGGGCTTGCCTCTTTTGATTTCGTACAATTCGGCGTTTTCCTTGGCTCGTAACGCTAGAGGTATAATCTGAGCTAGTAGCGCACTGGAAACAAGGGAAATGGTTTTATGGCCTTTGCAAATACGAATGCTAAACATTCGTGTAAGCCTATTGAGCATTCGGCTTATGTATTTTTTATTTGTGGCTTCTGCCCAGCAGCTCGCAGCATACAAAATAGTTGGTTCAACTACAGCCTGGTAGATGGTTCTTACTATGTCCGAGTTGAGACCCCATTGTGCTCTTGCTGCTCTTGATACCATCTTGTAGAGTCGAACTGCTTTACTGCAAACATAATCTAAATGTGGCTTAAAGTTAAAGTTTTTATCAATAATTAATCCTAAAATTTTGATTTGATCTATATACGTTAAGGTTACACCATCCATTAGCAGTTTGGGACAATGGAATTTATGCTTTTTGGTAATTATTGTACTTTGAGTCTTATGTGGGGCAAATTTAAGCTTGTGTCTTTGTCCCCACTCTACTATTGTTTTAAGTGTATCATTAACATCCTTTTCAAGTTTTTGGCCATCTTTGTTCGAGGCTATTATTAAGATGTCGTCTGCAAAGGCTTGAACGTGAGCTCCCGCGTTTTCCGTTGCCTGTAATAGGGGATCAAATTGGATATTCCACAGCATGGGACCGCAAGTTGATCCTTGAATACATCCTTTATTGGTTTTTATAGTGATCTTTTCGTTTGCGTAACTTAAGTTTATTTCACGATCTGATAAGTAGCTAATTATGAGTCTTAACACCATAGGTTCAACCTGTTTGTTTTTAAGTTCAGTGATAATAGCAGGCCACCATGCATTATCGAATGCGCCCTCAATATCTAATGACACTAGTATGACTATTTCTTTCATCTTAAGTCCATTCTTAATTAGTGTAATAGTATCATATAGCGCATCCTCCGTGCTTCTCTGTGGAGTGAATCCATATTGTCTCTGGTTCAATTTTTCGTCTTTTTCCTAACTGCCACTGAATTCTATTCGTAAAAAGTTTTTCCAGTATTTTACCCAGTACTGGTAGCAAGCCAATGGGTCTGTATGCCTTTGGATTGGTATAATCTTCTTTACTGGGTTTTGGGATTACTTTAATAGTTGCCTTTTTCCAATCTTTGGGGAAATATCCCAGTTCGAGGCACTTATTGTAGAGTAGTTCCAGCACTTCTGGGTTACTATTATAAGCTGTTTGGCATATATCGGATGTCAGGCCATCCTCACCCGGGGCTTTTTTAGGGCTCATGTTGCTTAGTATTAGATCTATTTCAGTTCTAGCGAATGGTGTCTTAACTTCTAATGCTTTGTTTTCGAGTTGTGCTATAAGTTCATTTGTTTTTGTTCTTATGTCATCCTGTTCCTTAGTATCGGTGTTTGGATTATCTTTGGGGTAAAAGGTTTCAGCTAGAAGTGTTGCTGACCCTTTTTCTGAAAGGATTGTCCCATTTTGGTCTTTGAGCAGTTTGTCTCCCTCCACATTAGAACAGACCTTCAATATCCGATATGTGCGTTGCCACACGTTTTCTTTCTGCTCGTTCGTGCATAGTTCTTTCCAGCTTTTGGTTGTGGCGTCTTCTATACTTTCCTTATATTGTTTTCGTGCTTGGAGATATTGTTCTATGACCCACTTCTTTCTTGTAGGGTGTGCATTCCTTATTCTTCTTCGTAATCTGATCATGATCTCCTTTTTTTCTTTAATTTCGGTGTTCCACCATTTAGCGGCTTTTGGTAACTGTTTTCGTTCTATTTTCGGAATCGTCTCATCGCATGCCTTTGTTATGCATTCTGTATATGTTTTTACGAATTCATCAATCTCCTGTGTCGTCCTAATAACTCCTATTCTTTCTTTGGTTAGGCCGTTGTTGTCTAGTGCCCTCTTGAGTTCAACGTTGAAATGGCTCCAGTTTGCTTTCCTTGTGTTGTATTTCCTGGTGCTGTTGATTTTTGACTCAATAAATGAAGTTGTCGTACTAAATTTGAAAAGAATTGGCTTATGATTAGATAAAGTACAAAAGGAATCGTCAACTCTCCAATTCTCAATCTTATGCAATAGTGATGTTGTACAGGCGGTAATGTCTATAATGCTGGAGCAGAGGGTGTCTCTTCTGTATGCACTAAAAGTAGGCTTTTTTCCCGTATTAACTACCTCCAAGTTAAGTTCAGCTAATGTTTCCATAACCTGTGTTCCTCTGTTGTCATCTGCTTTGCAGCCCCACCAGATGCTACTGGCATTTGCATCGCCACCGATGATTATATCTTCTGTCTGCATTGCTTTCACAAAATTCTTAATCGTTATTAAGTCTTCTTCAATTACGCCTTTTTCATGCAAGTAGATGCTGATGAAGCCAATGTTAAGATTACCTATTTTTAGTACTATACCTACGATGTCTTCGGTTAGTATGTTTGGGTTAATGGTGAAGTTAATGTTAGGGTCTAAGACAACTATTGCAGATCTCACTGGCTTATTGATGTCATTACTAACTTTTTGGATTACACGGTATTGCGGGCCCACAGTTAAGTGTGCCTTTGCCCCAACATAAGGTTCCTGCATCAATATGATGGAAAAGCCTTGTGTGGTTGCAGCCCGTAAGCACTCAAGTGTTGCCGCGCGGCCTCGATCAAGGTTGTATTGTGCCACTTTAACAATTTTTTTGCTATCGAGATTACCTGGTGTTCCTGTTTCATTAGTTTGGTTAACCAAGTCTTAACAGTATGACACAGAGCTCCTTGATATATTGTCCCATTTTTGCCACTCTGGACACTCGGGGCTATATGCGGGATGGGTAGCATTTTCTTTACCCGATCTGTTGCAATTAGTGCAGGATGGAGCCACGTTTCTGTTCGAGCATGTCCTTGTATCATGGCTTCCAGAGCAGTACCCGCAGATTAGGTCATTTGTGCAATCTTTCGCTCTATGATTGAATTTCAGGCACTTGTAGCACTGGTTAGGTTAGGTTAGGTTAGGTTAGGTTAGGTTAGGTTAGGTTAGGTTAGGTTAGGTTAGGTTAGGTTAGGTTAGGTTAGGTTAGGTTAGGTTAGGTTAGGTTAGGTTTTTTTTTTTTTTTTTTTTTTTTTTCACCGCTAAGGTGTCCTCCAACACAGGTCGGAGACTTTCCTCAACTGTGTACGGGCTTCGACGACTTTTTTTTTTTTTTTGCTGCCCTTGCTCTGTTGGATGGTGGGGAAAATCGTAAGTTTACTTACAGTTTCCTGTGTTCATGTTTTTTTTTTGTTTTTTGTTGTTTGTGGGTGTGTATTGTCTATTTTGTTTTTTATTTTAACGTGTAGTGCTACAAATGCGCTTATTTGCTAGTTTATTTACTGTATAACATTCCCTTTCACACTATGTTTTGCTTCATTTATGCATCTTTAGTTTTGTTAGTATATTCTGAATATATAACGCAGTATATATTATCGATATACTTATTACCTAGTCTTATTTCTATTTATTGCTTCCTTTGCTATATCCATACAATATTCTATAAACTTATTTCTATGCTTTTTACTTTCTAACAATACACATATATTTTCTACTTTGAGCTTAATATTTGTAACTATTTCTAATTTTAATCTTTTTTGAATGTTTTTAGGACACTCTAATAATAAATGTTCCACAGTTTCTTCCCTTTCAGAGTCACATACACATTTTGGAGAGTCTTTGCACTTAAAATGGTTGAGGTAGCTTGCAAACCCACCATGACCAGTAAATACCTGAACGATTATTTTATTTATTTTATTTTATTTATTTAAAAGGACAACCAACAAGACGAACACTAATACATGGATTTTAAGGTAACATGAATATCAAACTAAAGCTAAGCGTCATCTTAATTATAGGCTGCCACGGCATGCAAATGTGGACTATGCAAATAAAACTTAAATAGGTTAGTTAACACTAAGCAAATGACAACTTAAAACATTTTAATCATCATTTAACAATCATTATTTTTATATGTTAAAAAATCAAACAATAGATATAGATACTTGAATCAAACAGACACCATTGACTTGAGAAACTGACCGAGCTTGCGTCTAAATTTCAACGGCTTGTCAGAAAAGATGTCGATGTTGTAAGACTTAGATATTAAGTTGTACTGTCTCTGTAAGCGATTCATGGTGGCATGGTGACCTAAGCTACTTTTGGCACCTTTTGGTGAGAATGGAACGTAACGTACGCAACGCGGCAACTTGTATGGGATATTAAAATTGACAGATCGCAATAACGCAGGGCAGTCAATGAGGCCATTGATAATCTTATAAAAAAGCAATTGATCCAAAAACAATCTTCGCCCTTGTAGGCTAGTCATTTTAAAATAGGCAAGACGTTCCTTATATGAGGGCAGCAGTTTCGCTTTGTTAGATTGGTAGGATAGGTGCCAGAGAAATCTCTTCTGTATTCGCTCGATTCGCCTGACATGAACCTCATAATGTGGGGACCAAACCTGACTACAATATTCCAAACCCGAACGAACCAATGCCAAATACAGGAGAACTTTTGTTGAGGGCTTTTTGAATTCCATTGCATTCCGCAGCACAAACCCTAGCATCTGGAAACCTTTTGTTGCGACCTGGTCAATGTGCTTGTGAAAACGTAATTTTTTATCCATAATGACGCCCAAATCGCGAATAGAGTCCACCTCTTGCAATTTTTGACCGGCAATATTGTAGGACGGCGACAAATTCGTTTTGCATCTCGAAAATCTGATAAATTTACATTTTTCAGTATTTAAATATAACCTGTTCTCCCTACACCATCCAGCGAGTCGATCTAGATCCTCCTGTAATAGCAATGAATCATTAATACCTCCGATCTGCATAGACAGTTTCATATCATCAGCGTAAAGGAAACAAGCAGCATGATCAAAGATACCCACGATATCATTAATAAATATATTAAAGAGGATTGGACCCAGATGCGAACCTTGTGGAACGCCGGAAGTTGGCTGAAAGGAATGCGATGCGTAGCCATTAACCACAACGTGCGACTTGCGTTGATAAAGATAGGATTCAAACCATTCCAGAAGGCTGCCATACACACCCAAACGAGAAAGTTTACCCAGTAAAATTTTGTGATCAACTGAATCGAAAGCCTTACTAAAGTCGGTGTATATGGTGTCTACAGTAATACGGGAATCAAGGGAGCTAGAAACAAAATCCACAAACGGGATCAAATTAGTTACCGTTGAGCGAGATGCCAAAAATCCTGATTGGCAAGGAGAAATTAAATGCTTTATGTGATAGGACAAGACCGGGCAAACCAACGATTCAAATGCCTTCCCAAAGACTGAGAGTATCGAAATGGCCCTATAGTTCTTCACGGATGCCGAATCTCCCGACTTAAAAACTGGAACAATTCTCGCCTCCTTCCAGATCGAGGGAAATACGCCATTCATTAAAGACTCATTAAATATTATTGTTAGAGGAAAGGAGAGAGATTCACAGCATTGAACTACAAACAACGAGGGTATTCCATCTGGTCCAGCTCCCTTATTCCTATCTAGTCCTTTCAGAGTTTTCAGAACATCCTCCCGCCTAAGGGTGAGACTTCCAAGGAAGCAAGAGACTGAGTATTCTAGATCAGGTACATTGCAGAGAGGCAAGCTTGGCCGGTAAACCGAGGCAAAATAAGAGGCAAAGAGATTACAAATACCAGTTCCAGAAGTTTCTTCCTTATCATCGAAAGTCATTGCAGATGGATACGCATTGCTATTGACTTTTTTACTCTTGAGAAAGGTCCAAAACTTTTTTGGATTTACTGATAGGGACTTTTCAAGATCAGTTATATATTTAAGATAACAAGATTCTGTTAAATCAGAGCACCGTTTTTTAATTTTTTGGAATGCCAGTTCGTCGAGTGGGTTATTGTACTTTTTGTATTTTATCCTGAGCTTATACTTCTCACGTGAGAGGCGAATAAGATCCCTGGTATACCACGGGGGAAACTTTTTTGATGCTGGTTTGCTTTTAGGAACATATTTTAAGATAGAACTTCTTAGTATTGAGTAAAATTTGTTAGTCATTTCATCCACTGAGGAGCACGAAGCCAGGTCACTCTCCCATGGTATCGAGCTTAAATAATTAGATATTTTTTCAAAATCAGCTTTATAAAAGTTATGCCTCTCATTATAATTTCGGGAAAGAAGTTTAGCTGAATACCTGGAAGGCAGCGTAAATACCAGCGGTGGGTGATAATCATCTACAGAACTGAGCTCAGAGTTACTTCGTGTCACTTTCAACTGAATACTAAGATTAGAGAGAACGAGGTCTAAAATTTTGCCTTTATGGTTTAGGACCGTATTATGTTGGGTAAGATTATTTAAAGCAATGAAGTCCAGTAAAGTGCTTTCAAATGAAGTCTTAGTCATATTATTGCCATTTACAGCAAACGGTACCTCCGTATCGTTCCAGGCAATACCACTCAGATTAAAATCTCCCAAAATTACCGCTTTTGCGTTAGACTCTAAGACTCTATTAGCGTTGTCGATATAATGTTCCAGAAAATGTTTTTGAATGGGCGACGGGAGGTAGACGCCACACAATAAAAGCTTATTTGGGGTACCTTTTTCCGTAGGTATATTCAATTCGATCCAAATATCCTCGCATTTACTCTCAAAATGGTGTAGACTACGGGAATAAATATGCTTTGACACAGCCACCAATACCCCGCCACCAGATTTGTCCTGATGAAAGCCACTAGTCTCGCGGTCGCGTCTAAAAACTGCGTAACGATCACTAAACAACTCGGAGTCAAAAATAGTGCTATTTAACCAAGTCTCACATAACACTACTATATCATAATCGTATTTTAATATGTTTTTGTACAAGTTTGTCGTCTTCGTTCGAAGACCCCTAACGTTTTGAAAATATACATTTAAACTATTGAACTTTAAGCCATATACTATTACACGATAGATTACAAAATAACAAAAAGAACCTAAGATAAATTGTCCAGGGTCGATTTATTACGCACTAAGACGTATTCAGATGTATCAGTTTTCCGCATGTATATACGGCCGCCCCGGACCCATACATGTTTGTATTGAAGTTCTTTTGCACGTTTACGGGATAAAGCGTGAAGAAGCTTATTCTCAGGTGAAAGATTTTCTACTACATATATGGGAGTCTTCCTGTTAGGCCCCAATCCCACATGCTCCGTGTTCAATTTTTCCTGTGAGTGAGTTTTATTGTATTTCAATGCAGCGGCTAGCAGGGGAGTCCCTGGAGCGAGGGCTGTTAAGTTTAACTAGAATAGAGCGAGGACGGGTACTCTCGGGGTTCTTCTTAGCAATGCGTGAACAATATAAGATATCCGACTCGATTATAGGGTTAAGGTTCAGCTTTTGCAATAGTATGTATGCACGGTTTACATCTGGTAAAAATATCTTGGTTACCGCGGCGGTGTTGCCTGATATATAACGTTTGTTCCATTTTTCTACGCTGGCCACCCGGATTTGGCGCTTTATGTATGAAATGGGACATTTGTCATAGTCAGAAGTAGTATTTTTTATCCAAAGCAGCTTCCTTGGCTAACTGGTCGGCTCTTTCGTTGCCTTTCACCCCCACATGTGCCCTAATCCAAAACAGGCGGATTATATTGTCCTTATCTTTAATGGAATTAATATTTTCCTTTATGTCCATAACTAGCGGGTGATATGAGTCACGATTTCGAATAAGTTCTAGGGCTGATCTTGAATCGCTGAATACGTTGGTTGTTATCGTATTTTGTTGTAGTGCAATTTTCGTCGCCTGGTAGATAGCAAATAATTCAGCCTGAAAAACGGTGCAGAACGGCTCCAACTTAAACTTTTTGGTTTTAGTCTCAACGTCATTATTCCAACAGGATAATGCTGCTCCGACCTTACCGTCGATTTTGCTTCCGTCTGTATAAATTTGCTCACCTTTGATGTCAAGGTACTTTAAAGTTTCAGGCTCCGTATCTTCCAAGTATTCTAATGATATCTCAATTTCCCTTGCCGGGTGTTCTGCCTTTAGGAAGGAGATCCTACTTTCAATTTCCCTACAGCCTATTATTTCTTGAGGTTTACCTCTCTTTGCTTCATAAAGAGAGGCTACTTCTTGGACCCGCAGATCTAAAGGAAGCAATCTTGCTAGGATTAGTGCTGCGTTTAGGGAAACTGTTCGATAGGTTTTGCACATTTTCTGGGCGAATCCTCTCTGGATTACATTTAATTGCTTCTGGATGCTTATTTTTTCTGTTGCTGTAGCCCACACACTAGCCGCGTACAGGATTATCGGTTCTATTACAGCTACGTATATTGTCCTGATAATCGCCGGGTTCAGGCCCCACTCAACTTTGGCTGCTCTTGAGAGTTGTTTGTAAATATTGGCAGCTTTCCGACATATTGTGAGTACGTGCTTGTGGAAAGTCAGCTTGCTGTCGATCGTAAGTCCGAGTAGTTTCATGTCTTCCACCAGTCTTATGTCAGTTCCTCCCATATGAATTTGTGGGGTGTTATATTTGAGTTTCTTGGTTATAACCATTGCATTTGTCTTATGAGGCGCAAACCGAAGTTTGTTTCTGACTCCCCACTCATGCACATATGCCAGGGTGTTATTGGCTTGTTCCTGAATAATTGAGGCTGTTTCTCCGGAGAATATCAGGACAATATCGTCAGCAAATGCTTGACAATATATCCGCCTTCTCTCCAGACCATCCAACAGGGGATCTAATAACAAATTCCAAAAAGTGGGCCCTCCGATGGAGCCCTGGACGCATCCTTTCGACGTACTTTTGGTGTGTTCAGCACCTGCATACCCAACACAGACCTTTCTATCTTCTAAATAACTTTTCATAATATTGCGTAGATTTCGCGGACAGCGTTTCTCCGCCAGTTGACAGCGAATTGCCGGCCACCAGGCGTTATCAAACGCTCCTTCTATATCAAGCGATACTACGACGTTTATAAGTTTCTTCTTCAAATTGTCTTTTATACGTTGAAGTAAGTCATACAATGAGTCTTCTGTACTGCACTGTGGGATGAAACCGTATTGTCTGGGGCTAGCTTTAGGTAGGAGATGCCACCTGATTCTCCTTATCAGCATTTTTTCGAGCACTTTGCCAAATATTGACAATAGGCCGATTGGTCTGTAGGACTTTGGGGTCAAATAGTCGTCTTTTCCTGGTTTCCTCAGAACTATTACCTTTGCTTCTTTCCACGGTACGGGGAAGTGTGACAGGTGGAAGCATTTGTTAACTATATTCAAAAAAATATTAGGGTCCTGAGATATTGCCACTGAACAGATGTCTGCAGTAAATCCATCTGGGCCAGGCGCTTTCTTTGGGTTTAAGCTATTTACTACGTAGTTTAACTCCGCTATTGTGAATGGTGGATCTATCTTGTCGGCTTCTGGGAGTTCTTCTTTGTTTGCCAATCTTCTCGTTTGCTGATGATCTGCATTATCTTCTTCTTCCTTATCTTCGGGAAAGAAGGTTTCTGCGAGCCACTTTGCTGACTGTTCCGCGCTCATTGCTATTTCATTCTTCACAAGTGGTTGTTCTTCATATTTTTTGGCAGTTTTAGCTATAACCCTATAGATACTGTCCCACATACTCTCCCGATCTTGTTTGGTACAAAAGTTCTTCCAACTTTCTGTTTGGGCTTTCATCGCTTCTTCCTCGTATTTCGCTTTTGCTTCTAGGAACTCGTTCACTACCCATCCTCTACGACTGGGTGCAGCGCATTGTATCCTTCTTTTTTTTGTGTTCATTTCTCTTTTTAGTATTTCTAGTTCTTCGTTCCACCATGGGATCTTATGTTTCATTTTATGTTTAATTAGCGGTATTGTCTTCTCACATGTCTTTCTTATACTGTCTATGTACTTTGATATTGTCTGTTCTAGTGTTTCTTTGGTTGTAATGTTACTTATCTCGTTTTTATCTATATTTCTTGCTTTTAGCTGTCTTAATAGTTCTTCTCTAAAAGCAGGCCAATTTGCCTTTCTCGTATTAAAGATTCTCGTTGTATTCTTGTGTCTATTTTGTATTGGTTTTTTAAACTTAATATTGAAAACGATTGCATTGTGGTCCGAACTAGTAATAGTTTTGTCTACTCTCCAGTCACTCACCGCGTCGAGAAGTTCTGTTGAGCATGCTGTAATGTCAACATGACTCTTAAAGTGTTTCCCTCCTCTGGTGGTATCGAATGTTGGTTCTTTGCCAATATTTAGAATTTGTAGGTCGAGTTCCTCTAGGGTTCCTGATAATGCTTCTCCTCTAAAGTTTTCTGAGACACTTCCCCACCATGTACTCCATGCGTTGCCATCCCCTCCCAGTAATATTTTATTGGTTCCTATTGTTTCTACTATCGATTTTATCATGTCCAAATAGGGCTCTATTGGCAAATAGTCTTCTAAGTAAATTGATATAACTCCCAGGGTCCACTCATTTGTTTTTAAAATAGCTACAGCTATATTTTCTGTAGTCAATGTAGGGCTTTCGATAATCTCTACATTGTCGTCAAAGACCACTATGGCTGCCTTTATTGGCTTTGTCCTATTCCGATTTCGCTGGACGACACGAATTCCAGCATGTCTTTTGAGTTCGCCCTGGGCACCTATATAGGGTTCCTGAATTAAAGCAAAGGCAATCTTTTCTTTAGTGGCTTCTATTATTAGCTCCGTTGTTGCCAACTTCTTCTTTTGTAAGTTCGCCTGTATGACTTTATAAATTTGATAGTTTTGGGGGGTCTGTGCATTTATTGCAGAGCTTTTTGCGTCCATATCCTCTTCAGCAGTACGCCACCGTCGATCTAGCCAGGATATCCCACCTTTTTCTAATAGGGCACTCTGAGTCGAAAGCGTTATGATCATTTTTCTCCAATTTAGCATGGAAGCAATTTCGGCATGATGGCACGTTTCCTGCAAGCCATTCCGCACATTCCACTCTCATATGCGGGCCACCACAGTGGCTGCAGATGTCAACTGTTTCTTTGCAGAATTTACGCCCATGACCATATCCCAGGCAGCGCGAGCACTGAACTAACGGTGTCTGGTCCGACACACGAACACGCTGCAGGTCGATATGTATTCGTTCTGCCCTTGTCAATCGCTGCCATACTTGAGGTGAGACCTGCATAATGATGTGGTTTGCATGAGGATTTCTCGTCTTTCGTCGATATTTTACGACAAGTCTCTGCTCTTCAGATTTAATGTCACCTATCAAATGATTATTTTGATTTTTTAGAGCTACTATAATATCCTCATCTGAGTTGTACACTAGTACGTCCTTTAAAATAATTAATGGGTCCTTATTTTTTACCTCCTCAACATGCAGGCCTCCGCCCGAGTTCTTAATTTTCTCTGTTACTTTCGCTAGCTCTTCTTTTGATTTGCATCCCACGATGACCTTTTGGTCTCTAGCTTTACGAAGCCTTTCTATCTGTATGCCCTCACTTTTTGCGTTCACTGCTGATCTTATTTTATTTATAACCTCTCCACTAGTATCTTTCACTTCGCCTGACGATACTACTACTGAGTGCACCTGTTGAGGTCCTTTGGATGTCGCCGCTGCTTGTGCATATGTTCGTCCCATGTTGTTGTTCTGAGGAGTTAGTTTAAGGTGTTCGGTAAGTGCTATTGTGTGTATTTTACATTCTGCTACTGACTTTGCGTAATTTTCCATCTCTCTTCTACTCTCCTCTCTAAGTTTCCCATGTTCATCCAATTTCTTCATTAGGTTTTGTTCTTCTTCCTTTCTTTTCTTATATTCTTTATTCAGTCTCTCCTCTTCCTTTTCCTGATATTTAGGTTTATCCTCTTTGTCTATATTCTTACCTGTTTCTGCTTCTTTCACCAATTGGTAAAGTCTCTCTATTGCCTGAGTGACTTCCATTTTTATGTCAGTCCTCAGGTTTCTAGAGTTGTTAAGATGTAGTTTGGCCTTTTGCAGACAGGCTCGAGCTTCAGTCAGGCGATCCGCATGTTTTGTTGCTTCGATTTTTGGTGAGCTCTCTGTGCTCTCAACTACTATTTTACGGGATGTTCCTCTTGTTTCCTGGGATGGAATAACTTTTTGTTTCTGTCGGGCCAATGGAGCCCTATTCGGGGGAGAGCTGTTTTACAGCTTCCGCGTCTATTTTGCCTGTTTCCCACTCACCGATACTTTTTCTCACACTAGGGGCCTGTGTTATTTGGTCCCTTTTAGTAGAAGGCCCTGCCTTCTCTATCCCGTTTGGTGAATCCTGAGGACTTTTGTCCTTGGCACTATCCTCGGTCTGTTTTGTGGGAGTGCGGAAGCCAAACATTTTGCCAAGGAAACGCGTTAGGTTTCAACAGTCAACAGTAATAAAACTATAAATCAAGTATTTATGTCAATTAACTAAAGGTTTGTAAAAGTTTTAAATTTTTTTTTATTGTATCTATTTATGTACATATATATGTCAGTAATATTTTTAAAGTAAGAATATTTTAGTCTAAATGTACCTATATGACTCTATCTAGAGTCAGTCTGCAAACACAATTCCAATTTTAATATTATTAACTCTTCGATTAAGATACTTTAATATGTTAATATCTACTATGTAGATACGTCTATATTTGTTTACTCTATAACATATACAAAGAAATTAAATATATAATAAAACAAGAATTTCTAGAAGATATATGCCTAGTAACTTTAAAAATTTCCAAAAATATTCATTATGAAGAGACTTACAGGCTAACAAATTATTGGCTCTACGTAGAGTCTATTTCTAAACACCACCTAACAGCACTCCTCGAGCCCTATTCAAGGAACCCCAACTCGGTATACCTAGCCCAATATGTTCCCAAGTTACAGCGCTTTCAAATAATGGTTTTCGAACAAGATGGCCGCCAAAATTAGGGTTAATGCGCTGTAACTCCCGAACGGATGGGCCTACAGCTCCGCACCCGGGCTCGTTTTGATGGGCTTGACCAGGGCTATCATATGGTGTAGTTTCAGGGTTATAATTTTTGAACGCTGAAATTTCCTGAAAAGTTAATTGTCTGTTCCAGCACTAACTGCCGACGTCTAGAGTCAAAATCCCAGCCTCCTACGACGCCTAGTTCAGGAGTTATGACCTATTTTAATTTTCCAAGATGGCTGCTGAAATGTCAAAGTTGATGTTTGACTGCTAATAACTCTGCTTCCAGAAACCGCAGAAGACCCGCGCTTCGACTATACTACTAAACTTCTTCAATTCTATCTGATGGAATCGATTTCAGGACCCTGAAAAACTATAGCTGAAAAAAGCCCAAATTTCTGTAGGTGGGTAGAAATCGATCTAATAGTAGCACAGTCCAAAACCGCAATTCACTACTACCTCCACAAGCAGAGCTATTACGTTTTTAAAATTTTCAAAATGGCCGCTGGTCCAGGCAATAAATTACTATTTCCGCCGTTTTTAAACGGATTTGACCCGTGTTTGGGCTCGTTCAAAAGGTCTCGGTGTCGAGCTTACGTCTATATAAATCTTTTGGCTTTTTCAGCCCCCTTTAATTAGATTTTTTATAAAATAAGATAAATTTTTTAGAAAATTTGATTTTTAAAGTTAAATTATGTTTTTAAAATTCTACAAAAATTTGCATGTATTACTATCAAGACCCTTATATTAATTATGTATTTTATAATTTTCTAGCACTTATTTTAAGGGTAGCACATGTTAACTAAAAATATTAAAAAATTTATAACTATAAAACCACTCACTAGAAAAATCCAAAAATTTGTACATATAATCCTTTCGTACTTCTTAACACTATTTTAAAATAAAAATAAGGGGTCTCCACTTTACTTTTAAATTTATCGAGATGTCAATTTTTGTCAAATTTTATAAGTTCAATATCTCGTAAGCCACTTAACTTAAAATTGTCCCGAAACTTGCTCCAGGCTCCTCTCCGCAGGTACTACCGGAATCCGACTGCAAACACAGCCGCACGACTCTGCTTCAAAAAACACGTGCCCACGTGGTACTTGTTTTTTGGGCTTTTCTCGAAGACTGTGGCTCCGAGAAACCTCAATTTTTGCATATAGGTTGGGGCCGCGACTAGCTTTAAGGCCGCACTTTAAAAAACAGGGGTAAAGGCGACTAATCGCACAGCGTTTCACTTTGAAGTTTTAAAATTTTTTAAAAATCACTCTTTTCACTATATTCCTTTGAAACTATCTCCGATTTTCTTGCGGTTTTCACTATTTTAAGCAGCGAGTTAAAACACAACTTTTGATATATCACACATGAAAATCGGTTGCAAAAAACCTATTTTTCCGAATTTTTAAGCGCGGAGCGAATTTAAAACGTGGCGTTCGGGACGGCAATTGACACCGGACTGGGTTAGGTTAGGTTAGGTTAGGTTAGGTTAGGTTAGGTTAGGTTAGGTTAGGTTAGGTTAGGTTAGGTTAGGTTAGGTTAGGTTAGGTTAGGTTAGGTTAGGTTAGGTTTTTTTTTTTTTTTTTTTTATATGTATGTTTTGCTGCTTTCCTCTGACATGTAGGTCAGAGACATTGTCAGCTCGACATGGACTTTATTTCATGTTTTTTATTTACTTTGTCCTTTTTGTTTTATAGAGGGTGTAGAGGACTCCGGGTTTTCGTTCGGGAGTCCTACTACTCTTTACCTAATACACGCAACAACAATATATTATATCTCTTACTTATAAATTCCTTTATATTAACACACATACAATTTGTAAATAAATCTTATAATTTTGAATTTGGAGTCAGCGCATTCTCTCTGTATATAAAAGTATAAACACAAGGAAGCGCCGGTTTTATTACTAAATTGATTGTTAAGTCTCAAATAATAATTGAATTAATAATCAGTTCAAGTTACATATTTTAGTAAATAATAGAGATAATAATAATCAACAATAGTCATTGGGCATATTTATCATATTAAAAATATTCGTCATATTAAACTATATTAAATTTCTATAATTTACTTTTGGTTATGTTTAATGACTTGTTTAACTACACCCTCACAAAATTTTATAAACTTATTTCGCGTCCTTTTTTCAATGAGCAGCATGTGTAAATTTTCTTTTACTATCTGAATATCGATTTCAGACTCGATATCGTATCTGGCTTTATCAAACCGAGGACACTGCAGGAGGATGTGCATAACCGTCTCCTCGGTTTCAGGCTCACAGACGCATGACGGGCTCTCCTTGCACCGAAACCGATACAGGTACTCGGAGAACCCACCATGTCCGGTCATTGCTTGGATCATCGTCGGAGACAGCGCTGTTTCTCTAATCACCTTGTGGGCTATCTCAACGTCCGGCAGAAATGCTTTAGTTGTTCTAGCGGTCTCTCCATCTGTATACCTTCGGTTCCATTCTTTAAGCGTCTCAGATCGAATGAGACGCTTTACAAAAGAGACCGGGCAAAGGTCGTAGTCCGGCTTTCTTTTTGCCCGCAGCGCCGCCTGTTTAGCCAGCTCGTCAGCTCGTTCATTTTCCGCAAGACCCGCATGGGCTTTTATCCAAAAGAGTTGTAATGTTTTTTGTTGCCTTAAGATGTTATAAATGTTTTTGCGGGTCTTGACTGCTAAAGAGTGTTGAGAGTCGTGGTCCACAATGGTCTCCAGAGCAGACCTAGAGTCACTGTAGACCCCGAAAGTTGTCTCCGCGCTAGAGAGAATCCGCTCAGTTGCCATGTATATGGCCAGTAATTCCGCCTGGTAAACGGTACAGTAGTCCGACAGTTTGAGTTTCAGAGTTTGGGTCTCACCAGCATTATTCCAAAAAGATAAGGCCGCTCCGACCTTTCCCTTTATTTTACTCCCGTCGGTAAATATTCGGAGACTCTGGTTGTTGTTGAGTCTCATTTCGTCCTCGTTTACCAGGCATATGAATTGCAGATCCATATAGGATGCGGGGTGAGGCAGTTCCATAAAGCTCGCCTTTGTCTCCACCACTCGGTCTGCCAGCAGCGACTGGAGTTTTCCTCTCCTCGCCTCAAAAAGGGAAGCTGCTTCTTGGACCCTCAAGTCCAGAGGAAGCAGACCAGACAGTGCTAGTGCCGAGTGTAGGGATACGGTCCGGTATGCTTTGATAATTTTTTGAGCGAATCCTCTCTGCACATTATTCAGTTGCTTCCTGACTCCCAACTTCTTAGCGGCTGGCGCCCACGCGCTCGCTGCGTACAAAACCACCGGTTCAACTACCGCCGTGTACATCGTCCTAATAATTTCTGGTTGAAGGCCCCAACTGATCTTTGCCGCTCTCGATAGCTGTGAGTAGAGAGATGTGGCCTTCTTGCACACATTCCTAACGTGTGTGTTAAAAGTAAGTTTTTTGTCTACGGTGAGACCAAGCACCTTGATCTCCTCTGACATGCGCACCACCATACCGCCCATGCTCAGACGTGGGGGATCGTATTTTGGTTTGTTCGTTATTACCATTGCCTGGGTCTTATGTGGCGCAAATTTAAGTTTGTTACGAATTCCCCACTTCATAACATGTTCCAGAGCAGCATCCGCACGTCTTTGGACATCAAGCGCCGTGTCCCCCGCAAACAGTAGGACGATGTCATCGGCGAACGCCTGACACCGGTCACTTTTACCTTCCATTTCTTTTAGGAGAGGGTCGAGAAGAAGATTCCATAGGACCGGTCCTCCTATGGAACCCTGTACGCACCCCTTTGTGGTTGCCCGTGTATGTTCCACACCTGCATATCTAAGTCTCACTTTCCTATCCTGGAGATAACTGTCCATCAATGTTCTTATATTATTAGGGCACTTTTCCTCAGCCAATCGGCATCTTATAGCTGGCCACCAGGCGCTATCGAAGGCTCCCTCTATGTCAAGAGATATTATCACGATGATCTTTTTATTGCGTAATTGTAGTTGGATATATTGCATCATATCATAGAGAGAGTCTTCGGTGCTCCTTTGTGGGGTAAAACCGTATTGACGAGTACTACACCCGGATTGGACATGGTATCTGATCCTTTTGATTATCATTTTCTCCAGGATTTTACCTAACACAGGTAGTAGACCTATTGGTCTGTAGGCTTTGGGGTGCGTATAATCATCCTTTCCAGGTTTCCTCAAAACAACTACCACTGCCTCTTTCCATTTGGTAGGGAAGTGTCCCAACTCCAGGCATTTGTTGACTAGGCTCAGATAAATCTCCGGGCTATGAAAGATGGCTTCTCGGCAGATGTCGGCCGTAAAACCATCCCCACCGGGTGCCTTTTTTGGGTTGAAGCTGCTCGTAGCTTGCCTTAGCTCCGCAAGAGTAAATGGTGGGTCACAAGAATCATCTTGCGTTCCCACGTTTATCTTTTCAGCTATCTTTCTTATACGCTGGTGGTCTGTGTTATCAGCTTCAACCTCATCTTCCGGGTAGAATGTCTCGGCTAAACATCTCGCTGATTCGGCATTATTTAGAGCTACTCCATCCTTTGTGAGTGGCAGATCTTCGTGCCGTTTAGCAGTTCTGCCGATAACTCGGTATATGCCTTCCCACAACCCCTCTCTATTCTGTCTACCACAGAACTCTTTCCAGCTTTTTATCTGAGCCTGTTTAGCTTCATATTCGTATTTTTCTTTTGCTTGCAGGTATTCTCCGACGACTGCTTCTCTTCGCACTGGGGCTGCACATCTTATGCGTCGTTTTTTGGTGATGTAGTCCTTCTTAAGCCTGACAAGTTCGTCACTCCACCATGGTAAATTCAGTTTGCTTATATTCTTCTTTTTCGGGATTGTGTTTTCGCAAGTTTTTTCGATTGTTTCTAAATAATTTTTGATTTGATTTTCTAAGTCCAATTTGTTATTTATTTTTTTAATTTCTACGGAATTGATATTTTTATCTGCCAGAAATTGAATCAATTTCTCACGAAATTGACTCCAATTTGCTTTTTTACTATTATATATTCTCGTTGTTCTTTGTATCGTTACTCCTGAACTTTTGACTAAATTAATTGAGAATTTAATTGTATTGTGATCTGAACTTGTCATGCCAGTATCCACTTTCCAGTCCTCCACCACCTTCAACAAGTTTTCGGAGCATGCTGTTATGTCGACATGACTCCTATATGTTTTTCCTCCTCTTACCGTATCAAATGTAGGAGTGTCTCCTTCATTTAATATGTGGAGGCTGAGCTCATTTAAAGTTCCCGATAGCACTTCTCCCCTTCCATCTTCTCTCACACTACCCCACCATGGGCTCCAAGCGTTTCCGTCCCCTCCTACGAGTACGTCAATTTTACCAATTTTAGTGAGCACATGTCTTAAATGGTCCATGTATGGTTCAATGGGTAAGTCCGGTTCGAGATACAGGGATATTATTCCCACCTCCTGAGCACCCATTCCAATTTTGACTACCGTAAAATTATTTGTAGTGAGAGTAGGATACTGAGTGACGCTGATGTTATTGTTAAAGACGGCAATGGCCGTCTTAACTATTCCTGCTGTTCTTTGGGTGCATTGATATATTCGAGCACCTCGGTAGCTTTTCATGCTCCCCACGCCCCCCACATACGGTTCTTGGATTAGAGCGATACTCATCCCAATCTTGCCGGCCTCAATCATCAATTCATTAGTTGCAAGCTCTTTTCTTTGAAGATTTGCCTGCACGAAGAAGATGGGTTCGTTTTTTGTCCTTTCCTGTCGTTTTTGCTCATTGCCCCCAATTTTAGCTACAACTTCAGCAATATGCCACACTTGATCTTGCTATAGCATCCCACTTCCTACGTACCGGACACTCACTGTCAAAAGTGTTGTGGTCGGCGCGATCCAACTTTGCTCTGAGACAGTTGGTACAAGAAGGTGTTTTCCCAGCAGTATACGCTGTACATTCGGCTTTGATGTGTGAACCTCCGCAGTGGGAACATTGATCTTCTGCCTCCTTGCATTGTCTTTTTCCGTGCCCATACGCAAGACATCTAGAACATTGCACCAGTGGTGACTGGTCTGCTACCACTACGCGCTGTAAGTCAACGTGTACGCGCCCTATCTCTGTCAAGCGTTTCCATAGTGATGGGGACACCTGAAGGATCACGTGGTTTGTATACGGGTTCCTGGTCTTTTTCCGGTAACGTACTGCTAATCGCACCTCTTCGCTTTTTAATGATTCCAATAGGTTCTTATTTTGGTTTCTAATTGCGGTAATTATGTCTTCATCGGTATTGATCTGCAGTACATCCCTTAGAATTACCAGTGGGTCTTTATTCTTAGCTTCTTCGACTGAAAGTCCTATATGACCTGCTTTCAGTCGGTTTGCTACTTTCTCCAATTCCTCTCTAGTACCGCATCCCACGATCACTTTCTGATCTTTGGCCTTTCTCACTTTTTCAATCCTTAGGCCATTTTGTTTTGCATCTACCGCAACTCTTATCTTATTAAGTACTTCACCACTCGTGTCATTTTCATTGTCCGATGTAACTATAATTGAATGCATTTGTGGATGGACGGTGTTTTTCAGGTGGGTTGGGATAACTTTCAGGTGTTGACTCTTGGTGTAATTTGCCGTCACACTTGCATAGGTAGTTAATTTCTCGGTGTGGCATTTTACCTCTTCACTAAACCGTTGAGTTTCTATTTTATACTCAGTGAGGAGCTTACTGTGTTCTTCTAATTTCTTTATTAGCTTGTGTTCTACCTCGATCTTTTTCTCAGCAGTGCTAGATTCTTTTACTAATGTGATTTCCTTTCCTTCTCCCACTTCTTTCGCCAACCTATATAATTTGTCAACAGCTTCTATAATTTTGTCCTTTAATTCCGTCTTTAGATTTCGTGAGCTATTTAATAAAAGTTTTATTTTAACCAGATACGCTTTCGCTTCTTGTGCCCTATTTGCATAAGTAGTCGTTTCTGGGTCAGCTTGGTTTTCTACACTGCAAGCTGCAGGGGATAGTTTGTTTTGAGATTTTTGTTTCGCCGGTTGCGTGTTTGTCCTTGTTTTAGGAGCTGCACTAAGTCGCGACTCAAGCTCACCGACACTTTTTCTTACTTGGGATATCCCTTCCTGCGCTCTCCCCGCTGATGGTTCTATTTCTTCGGTTTGTTTTACGGAGTTATCCGTCAATACTGTAGTCTTATTAAGTGGGGGTGTTTTAAACATTTTGTCTTACTTCAAAGGGTTATTGTCAACAAAAATTTGAGAATTTATGAGATAAAATTTTTTATAAATATGCGCCCAATAAAGCAATAAAATAAGATAAGATAATTTAATATGCAAATTTTAAAGTCAAACGATTTCCGATATTATCTTTATAATAAAATATAATAAATCTAAAACAAGAACAAGTAAAAAGAGATTTGTATAAGTTATAAAATACAGCAAACAGTAAATAACAGATAAATTGTTCCCAAATTATTAAAAGTTTTTAAGTTTGTATAAGTTATAAAATTATTGAAGAGTTGACGAGATTGTCGTAATATCAAATTTAAAAGGACCACAGAGATCCAGTCACCATTTCTGTCAAAATACTTCTCTATATAGAGTCGTAACTCTACCTTCGTTTAGGTACTAAATCAGTCTTATATACACAAAATATTTGTAAGTCTTTGGCTCTCTACTCTACGTAGAGTCAATTACTTGTGATCAGTTAAGAGTACTCCCTGAGCCCTATCTAAAGAACCCAAACTCGGTAAACCTAGCCCAAGATGTTCAGTAGTTATCGCCTTTTATAATTTCGGTTTTAAAACAATATGGCAGCCAAAATTAGGGTGAAACGCTATTAAAATCAAAAGTTATAAAAGGTATATGTCTATTAATGTTAAAATTTTCAAAAACTATTTCTAAAATGAGAGTTATATACTAACAAGTTTTTGGCTCTACATAGAGTCTCTTTCTAACTATCAGGTAAAAGCACTTCCCGAGCCCTATTCAAAGAACCCAAACTCGGCAATCCTAGCCCAAGAGGTTCCGAAGCTATATCGCTTCAAAACTTTGGTTACAAAGCAATATGGCTGCCTAAAATACGGTTAAAACGCTATAACTCCCGAACGAATGGGCCTACAGCTCCGTGCTTGGGCTCGTTTTGGTGGGCTCGACCAAGGCTGTAATTTGGTATAGATTTCAGGACACAGAAATTATGGGCTCTGAATTTGCCTGAAAGCTATGTAGCCTGTTTAAAACTCCTTACTATCTCCTATGGTCAAAATCCCAGTCTTCTACGATTCCTAGTTTAGCAGATATAGGCCTTTAAAGAATTTCAAGATGGCCGCTGAAGTGTCAAAATTGAAGTTTAACTGACGATATCTTTACTTCTAGTTGTCGCAGAAGACCCGCGCTTCGACTATTTTACTATGCTTTTTCTAGTCTTTCCGTTAAACGCACTTTCAGGACATCAAAAAATATGGGCTTCAAATAGCCTGAAATTTTAAAGGTGGGTAAAACTTGATCTCTTAATGTCGAAATCAAAAACCGCAGATTTCTACGACAACCGGAGCCAAAGTTATGGTAGTTTAAAAATTTTCAAGATGGCCGCTCAGCTGTCAAAGTCAATGTTTAGAAGCCCGTAACTTTAAGACCAGAGGTCGTACGGAAACGGGGTTTCGAATTTACAGCTGGGCTGGGCCTAAATTGTGTCCTGAAAGTGGTTTCAGGAGAAAAAATTTCAGGCATCCAATACGCCTGAAAATTTATTGCTATTGTAGAGTATGAGCTCCTCGAACATAAGTTTAAAATCCGAGCTTTCCACGACCAGGATTTTCGAAGATATGAGCAATTCAAAAATATAACCAAAAAACCAGATTGTTGAAATTTTGACAAAATCGCCAATTCTCGGATTTTTCGCTTGAAGTTTGGACTTAAATGAAACGTCTCCCATATAATAAGCCTATATACAATGATAAATTTAATTGATTTCTATTATTTTACTAATATTCATGAAAAAATGCCAAAAAATTCATATCTTCGAAACCGAATGCCGTAAAAATCCCGAAAAATTTTTAAAATTAAGAAGAATACAAGCTTATTCTTACTGTGGACTAATGTTAAAAGATTTTTTACAATTTTCTTTAATAAACTTAAAAATAATGTTTTTTATCAAATTTAATAGTTTTATTTAATTGTACAAGTGAAATTTAAATAAAAAATCATTTATATGTAAATACGGTTAGCGCGCAAAAGATAGCAGTTTCAAAATTTTTGCAAACGTTATACAAACTAAGAAAATTATACTTAAAGTTTTAATTTTAAAAATGTAATTATTTAAAAAGTATATAATATAAAATTCTACAAACTATTGCGATGCAGCCTCCTTGCCTCAAACTTGCTTCCTGTAATTTTTCAGCTTGCTGTCTGCTTCCGTTCTTGGTTTTCAACAACACGTGGTTTTTGTTTTTTTGAAGATAACTTCAAAATGCGTGGTCCAAAATTTTTTCTGTTGCGCCCAAAAGTTGCAGACCACTAAGGCCTTACTTGTGGCAGTCAAACATTTAGGGGGCACTCGTCAAAATCACCGGATACTGGCATTTAAAGGTTAATTCCTCGAAAACTAACCTCAAAAAAGGTAGTTTTCCGGGTCCTGTGCTTCAGCCGTAAAAGTCCGGGTTGTTTTCTAGATCAGGGAATATAGGCCTCAGGTTGCCCGATCTATCGACACTTCACTTGTCCAAATCGGACCACAAAAAACCACTTTTATGAATTTTTTAGTGAGGAGCACGTGCAAAATGATGCGTTTCCGAGCGCGGATCGATTGCAACTGGGGTTGTAGGTTAGGTTAGGTTAGGTTAGGTTAGGTTAGGTTAGGTTAGGTTAGGTTAGGTTAGGTTAGGTTAGGTTAGGTTAGGTTAGGTTAGGTTAGGTTAGGTTAGGTTAGGTTAGGTTAGGTTAGGTTAGGTTAGGTTTTTTTTTTTTTTTTTTTTTTTTTTTTTATTTTGTAATAAGTTTACTCTACAGACTCGAAGTCCGTACCTTTTTTTGCTTTACTTTATTTTATTAACTTTTAAAATACTGTTATAAATGTACTCCTTACACTACTTACATTTCTTAAATATTTAAGCCTAAGCAGTGAGTTCACATATATATGTTTATATATTTTTTTTTTTTTTTATTTTTTTTTTTATTTTTTTTTTTTATTTCTATTGTCTTACATTCTTAAGATCTACAAACTGATATGCTTACATGCGACATGCACTTACACGCAATATATATTTATTTTTTTTTTTTTTACACTTTTTTGTGTATTACTATTATTTTTTTTTTTTATTTATGTCTATTGTCTTACATTCTTAAGATCTACAAACTGATATGCTTGCATGCGACATGCACTTACACGCAATTTTTTTTTTTTTTTTTTTTTTTTTTTTTTTTTTTTTTTTTTTTTTTTTTGGTTAATTAAACATAATAATTGTCGACCCACTTTGTGTTTTTATATATATTTTTTTCCTCTTTTTTTTTTTTTTTTTTTCCCCTCATGTAGTTATCAACACAATCTACATACTTAATGTATATGGCCTTACATGCTATGTTAATTTATTATATTACCAGATTTTCCTTTTTTTTTTTTTTTTTTTCCCTTTTCCTTGTACTTAATGTCGTGGAGAGTGCTCCATCTTTAACTGTTTGTGATATCTGTTGACAGGGCTTCCACAATAGCTTCGTCTCTGTTTCTAATTGCCATTTTCAGATTATATTCTTTGATTCTTTTCGTTGTCGCAGCCATTGCGCTCTCAATCAGCCTCCCAGTTGCATCGTCGCAAACGTCCGTGTAATAAACACAGCTTTCTGTGTGCCTGGACACTGCCACTACTGCGTGTTGGACGCTGTCATAAATTTTGAGCTTCTCTGTTGTTGTCCTCATTATGACCACTCTCCCGTATGTGAGACCTTGGGCCTCATGTACGGTTAAAATTCGCGACCCAGGACCCGAACCATATCCCTGGCTGGTAAGGGACTCCTTTTCTGCTTGCGTAAATGCAAGATATAAGGTGTCGGGCAGGTACCTGGTATGACGACTCCCGTGTACCTCTTCCTTTCTAGTGAGTGCACCTGAGATCTGGATGAGTAAATGCCACTATAGATTTCATTCAGGGCATATGCCACATCCATCGGATTGCTTTTGTGTAGGCTATTGTGATGGATTCCAGATCGTCATGGATTTCCGCCTCCTCAATTAGTGTGGGAGTTATGGCTCTTTCTTTTAGAAGGGATCTAAAGCGTGTTGAGAAGTCCGACCAGTTTGCCTTTCTGGTGTTGT